GAATGAAAAGGTGGAGGGAGGGAAAAGATAGGGTTTGAGACGGGAGAAGAGCAGAGAAATGAGAGAGAGAAGGGCAGTAAAGGAATCACGAGACCCCAGACATTTTCATTTTCTTCAAAAACACAATTAATGGAATTGAAGTGGATTATTTTTATTGGATAGAGTTCAGATGAGTTGGCACACCGAGAGTACCTAAGAATTTCTCACATGTTGGATTCAAATTAATTGTGCTGGAGTATTTTTATTGGATAGAGTTGGGATGAGTTGATACTCCAGGAGCACCTAAGAATTGACAAGTATTTGAGAGAATTTTTAAAAAAATACTGTTGAATTTTAAAATTCTAACTCAGTCTTATTTACCATACTTTTTTAAACAAACTTATTTACTATACTTTAATAACAATTGATAATATTAAAAAAGTAAATGACAATGTATTTTAAAATTTTCAAATTTTAAAGGTTTTTTTTAATAGATTTTCTCATAGTATTTTGGAAGGCCACATCTAATTCTATTGGACTTTTATATGACAACGTAACTCAAGATACAAAAAGTACATCGCTAATATCATAGGTAAAAATAAAAAAATAATTCTATTTCATTACGATAAATAAATACTTGATTTACGTTTGAATAATCTTCAGACATTCTCCTTTGAAATTAAAAACATCCCCCAAACTTTTACTTTCTTAAATGTTCAAACCATTTGGTTGTGGAAATTGAAAATGAAGATGAGATTGGAAAAATGACATGAAAATGAATGCATTAATGTTCTAATTTTACCTCCGGAAGGCTTGACCGTTAAAAAATATGTGGTTCTCAATTTTATTACATATTTAAATGCTCGTTTACCTTTTATTTTAGATTAATATAATTTTTTATCTCTAAAATTTGTTTTCATTTTAGTTTTGGTCTCTTAAATTTTAAATCATAAGTTTTAATTTCTGAAATTTTTTTCTATTTAAAACATTAATCCATATTATTCCAAAAAAAATTAGACCATTTTGCTTTTTGAGGGACTAAAATTTATAGTTTGAAACCAACAGACTAAAACGAGAATGAGAACAAACTTAGGAAACTAAAAATTATATAAACCTTTTAATTTTTCAATAATTTTTAAGCAATGGGTTATTATCTTTTAAAATTTCGCTCACGAATTTGGAGAGTGGAACGCATGTGGATAGGAAAGGAAAGAAAGGAATTAACAATTTCTTTTTATGGAAGTTATACGCAATTTTTATATTTTTTGGTTATATTAAGTATTATAAGAAATTGTACATACACTTTATTATTTTCAGGCCTTACTAAAATTTTGTCCGATTTTTTATACATAAAAATCAAACTTTAGGGCTCAAATATTTATTCAAATTTCAACGATCCGAATTAATTTATTTATTTCTGGATTAAAAAATAAATAAAATTAATTCACTTTGACTTCAATACATGAGTGAAGGTGTGTGTATACGACTTCGATAATTGATAATATAAAATATAAAATTTATAATAAGTTATTTTATTTGTGTCATAAACTAGTGTTGATTATTCTTTAAGCACCATGCCATTCATGGAGCCCAGAGAGGATTCGTTTTGTTTGCAAACATTAAAAAAAAAAAAATCACCGAGTATTGACCCTCTATTTTTATTTTATACATAATTGTCCCCAGTTTTTACCAAACATCTACTAACTTTAAAAGGATATAAATATATAATAGATTATATCTGTGGTATTTTCTTATTCATGATGTTGGGGAAAAAGATGTAGTTAAAAATATCCAGTAATTCAATTTGCTTTTGGAAATTGAAAACGGTAAGAATTGCATGCATTCAATTCATGACACGATTTTCTATTGTAAAGACGGGACGACTTGGAAACATTATTAGTAGAATTGACAATAAGAAATATCACGCGGTTATCCATTTTTTATGCCATTTATATAAAGAAAAGACTTCATGGAAGCCATCATACTGAAACTTACAGCACAATTGTCAAAAATAAAAAGCACATAATCCCAGAAGAGAAAATCACGCAACAGAGTAGAATTTTGAATTGTGCATTTGGCCAAAAAAGAATAAATTGTGCAGAATTTTGATTTAGTGCCTCTTTCAAAGGGTGTGAATGACTTTTTTCTCTGAAAAAAAAATATCCCAGACAAATTTCGCCAATGGGGAGAGAAAAATCATCATAAAATAATTAAAATGTGTCGTTCATCACGATACATAAAATATTTTCCAAAGTTGCTCGAATGAGCTATGATGAATTGGCGATGGACTTAGAGAATTTGTTGTTTCAATTACTGCCACAGTATATTACATTACTCCCCTTCCTTTTGATTTCCGTTATTATCATTGAGCATCTGTTTTAACTGGTAAGTTGTACCAGTACCAATTTAACTAGAGGTGAGAATCTCTTTTACCAAAGGAATTGAAAGAGATGATAAGAATGGAAGCCTTATGATGGGTTCCATTAATAAGTAGAAAGATCGAAATGGAGCATAGTTTGGGACAAAGACTTTACAAGCGTCATGAAGGGGCAGTGAATTCAATATGTTAAATCTTCTTTGGCATGATCCAAGTTAGTATGGGTCCCAATAAATTCCACAGTTGAGAATTGTGAAGTTTCTTGGGAAAGGATTAAAGACTTGAAAAAAAACATATTGCAACATGGGTAATTGCTCTTGGACTAATTAATGCAATTTGGTAGAAAATGATTTTTGGAAAAATTGGCAAAATCTCTTCCACCGAAAGAAATCCAAAGGGATGATAACAACGGAAGCTACTTCTTGATGGGTTTCATTAATGACCAGAGACTCAAATTGAGTATAATTTGGGACGAAGACTTTATAAGCATTCTGGGAAGGGCATTAATGAAACCTAGTTAACTAATTTGAAAAAACTAAAGTACTAAAAACATCTAAAACAGTTTGTAGTTTACAAATAAGGTCTTATAATTAGGATTAGAGGTAGTATAATTGTTTGCACTTTCTCCATGGCACCACATGTCATTGATGTTGTTGTCGATGATAATATGAACTGAACATAAAAGGTCTAAATAATAATTCATACGATATTTTTCTTATTTTGAAAGCTAAAAGTTGTATTCGCAGAAATCCTCTAATTGAATGGGGAAAAAAACTTTAATTTGTTGCTTAAACGACTTTTATCTTTTGAAGCGTTCAAACTATTTGGTTATGGAAATAAAAAAAAGAGGATACGAATGGAAAATGATATGAAAATGAATGTATTAATATTCTAATTTTTTCTTGAAAAGATGGAAAGACTTGGGGAGAATTAGAAGACTTGACCATTAAAAAAAATGGTTATAGGTTTTTTATCCATTTTTTATTTTTTCAATATTTTCTTATAAACAATTTATTTGTAATGATTTTCATTTTTCACAACTTATATATGCACATCGTGACTATGTAATATAAATAAAAACTTAATTGAATTAATTCTACTCGAATAAATCATGATGACAGGTTCATTTTGAAAATTTCATTTGCTTTGTTATTTCAACGTACAATGTCATTTGAATTTTAGAGCTCTGATTTTGTGATGTGTTTGGAGTAAAGATAGTGAATTAATGCAAACTTTCGACGGTAATTTTTTCTTGCAAACCTACATTAAATATATACTATGTCCTAATTATAAAACCCAGTTGACTTAGTTGAGGAGATTAATGAAATAATAAGTTAGTTATTTGTAATAAATAAATGTTGTCATTCCTAAAATATCCTTACTAGTTAAGTATATTGGCTAGAATATCATTATTAGAAGGACTATCTTGGAAAAAATGCATAAATATGATAGACAGAATTGGGGTCTTATAATTAGGACCAAACAAAAAGTCAAACGAGGTCTTATATTAAGGACCGGATAGTATAATGTATTCAAATTAAACACAGTTCAAGAAAACATAAATGATACTACTTCGATGCTAAATATAAGACCTACTTTGTAGTATAAATTACACTATAAAGTGGATCTTATATTTAGAAACAAAGAAGTAAAATCTATACGCCAATTAAATATTTTGTATATGGGATCAATTTTTTTTAGAACCTATTAAAGCCCGAATGTATATTAAATTTTAGCTCAGGTACTTAGTTTTGTTATGAATGTACATGTCGTGTATTTGGAAGGCATGTGAATAGGAAGGAAATGTAATCAGCAAGCAATAAATAAATAAGCTAAATAGAATTACGGCAAAAAAAAAGCTAAAAAGAATAAAAAGGAAAAGTTGGAGTCCGAACGGAATTATTGTGATTTTTTTTGGGTTATATTAAATTTTATAAGAAACGATTTATTATTTTCGGGTCATACTAAAATTTTGTCCAATTTCTGATCCAAGAAAATCAAACTTCAGAGCAAATATTTATTAGAATTTCGATTATCTGAATTAATTTATTCACTTCTGGACTAAAAAAAAAAATTAATTCACTTTGAGTTCATTAAGTGAGTGCGTGTTTGTGGACTCGTTTTATAATTGATAACAATATAAAATATAAAATTTGCCATAAGTTATTTTATTTATAAGTCATAAAATAGTGGTGATTATTCTTTAAGCTCCATGCCATTCATGGAGCCCATATAGGATTTGTTTTGTTTTCAAACATTTTAAAAATAAAATAAAATCACTGAGCTATTAGCCTTCAATATTTTTACACATAATTGTCTCCAGTTTTTTTATAAAACCCGCTAGCTTTAAAAGGATCTAAATATATATGATATTAATGTATTATATCTGTGGTGTTTTCTTATTCATGACGCGATTTTCTATTGAAAAGACGGGGAGACTTAGAAATATTATTAGACTTGACAACAAGAAATATCACGCTGTTATCAATTTTTTAAGGCATTTAAGTTTTTGTTTACTTTAGATTTTCCAATATATGTGTGTGTCTACATACATACATATACATACATATATATATATATATATATATATATATATAATGTAAAGACTTCATTGAGGCCATCATATTCAAACTCACTTACCACAATGGCTAGCTTCGCTTCACAGATTTCCCTTCTTTTGTTGTTTCTGTTATTTGCAACAACATTAAACAGGGTGATGAGTTGCAATGAAAATGATCAAAGGTTGCTTTTAATCTTCAAACAAGGAGTGGTTGATCCAACCAACCAACTCTCATCTTGGAGTGTTGAAGAAGACTGCTGTTTATGGGAGGGAGTTCACTGCCACAACATCACCGGAAGAGTCACAGAGCTTTCTCTCTTCAATCATTCATTAGGAGGTGAGATTAGTCTGTGTGTGCTTCAACTTAAATTTCTCAACCACGTGGACTTGAGCGACAATGACTTTGAAACTGTGAGTATGCCACCATGCCAAATCTCCAAATCTCCCTTTGATGCTCACAATTTTCACAACCAATCACTTGCTACTCCTTCCAATCACTCTGCAAGTTTCTCTGTTGCTCTGCGTTATCTGAACTTTTCATATAATCATGGTTTAGCCATAAATGACCTTTATTGGCTTTCTCAACTTTCTTCCTTAAAATATCTTGACCTTAGTGACAGTGATATTGGAGATGATACCAAATGGCTCCAGCATATAGCCATGCTTCCTTCACTCTTTAAGTTACACTTAAGTGGGTGTAGACTTAGAGATTTTCCATCCCTTGATTATATCAATCTTACCTCACTTGAAGTTCTTGATCTTTCTTATAATTATTATATAGTGAAGTCAAAGTTACCTGATTCATTTTTTAATATCACCCATCAAATCCATCATCTTGACCTTGGTTTTTGCAATTTACATGGCCAATTACCAAAGTCCTTGCTCAATCTTCAGAACCTCAAGTATTTAGATTTTAGTTTTAATAATCTTGAAGGATTGATTTCAGATTGGTTAGGCCAATATGAACAGTTGCAATACTTGGATATCAGAGGTAATTTGTTTGATGGCGTAATTCCATCATTTCTTGGAAACATTTCTTCCTTGCTCTACTTAGACTTGTCCTGCAACCAATTGAGTGGCAACCTTTTAGAAACCCTTGGACAACTCCGTAACTTAAATCTATTACATGTTGGACACAATTCCTTGGTGGGTGCTCTTACTGAAAAGAATTTTGCTAATCTCTCAAATTTAATATCACTGGACTTAAGTTCAACAAGTTTTGAATTTGACATTGATCCTAAATGGGTCCCACCTTTTCAACTCAAGGCATTGTATTTGGGTAACACGAGCATAGGTCATAATGTTTCACCATGGCTATATACACAAAGGTCTTTAAGTGATTTGAATATTTCAGCATCAGGAATTTCAAACATTGATGCAGATGTATTTTGGAGCTTTATATCAAGAATTGGTAGAGTTGATATTTCAAACAACTTGATTGGTGGTGATAATATATCCAATGTCATTATATCAGCAAATATGTCCTACTTTGATGCATCTCACAACTCTTTGTCAGGATCTATCTTCTCATTATTGTGCCATCAAGAGAGTGAAAAGGAAACCAACTTGGAGGTGTTGGATTTATCACATAATAATTTGAGTGGAACACTTCCCGATTGTTGGAACAATTGGAAAAAATTAAAATACCTTAATTTGGGGAGTAACAAGCTAACAGGTAAAGTCCCTGCCTCATTGACTTCATTGAATCTTTATAAGTTGGATTTGAGTGACAATGGTTTCTTTGGAAAATTTTCATTAGACAAGCTAAATTGGACAAATTTGGAATACTTGCTTTTAGACCGAAATAAGTTTTCTGGAAGTTTGCCAATTCCAATGGCGGAGAATTTGGGAATTATTAAATTGAGGACCAATCAATTTACTGGCAATATTCCAACAATCTTGTGCGAACTTTCTTATTTGAACATAATCGATCTTGCTGAAAATAAGCTTTCTGGATCTATACCTCACTGCCTACGCATCATCGAACATCTACCTGATCTTCCTTTTTGGGCCAAACATCTACCTTATATCATAGATCAGTCTATTGCAATAGTGCACATATTTACTAAAGGAAGTAAATTAGCCTATCAAGTTGATAGTTTTCTAAGTTTTGGACGTGGCATTATTGATCTTTCTGCTAATAGCTTGTCTGGAGAAATTCCTGAAGAACTGGTTAGTATGAGTAAAATATTATCCTTGAACTTGTCTCGAAACTATTTGACTGGAAAAATTCCCAAAGAAATTGGAGGCATGAAATACTTAGAATCTCTTGATCTCAGCTACAATAAACTTCTCGGAGAAATTCCTTCAACCATCTCTAATGTGTCATTTCTTGCTTATTTGAACCTCTCATACAACAATTTCATCGGGCAAATTCCATCGGGAACCCAAATTCAAAGTTTTGATTCTTGGAGTTTTCTTGGCAATCCCGAACTTTGTGGAGATCCTCTTCCAAAGAAGTGTAACAAAAAGGAAGAAACTCATGGCTCAAAGCTAGCTGAAGAAGATGAAGATGACAGCTTTCTAAAGTCATTGTATCTTGGCATGGGGGTTGGATTTGCAGTGGGCTTTTGGGGAGTTTGTGGTTCTCTCTTCCTCATCAGAGCATGGAGACACAAATTTTTCCAATGGTTTGGTCACTTGACAGATCAACTTTATGTTGCCTTGGCCCTCTGTTTCAAAAGCTTTGGTTGAATATCAATAACAAATTTTCCTCGAGGTAATAAATTAGCTGCCCTAATTCTTTAAGTAATGTTATTATTTTAATGAGGTTTCATTTTCCTTTTTCCATTGCATCTTCTTCTACTTGCTAAAACATTCTATTCTTAGCTGACTACGTTCTATCTTGTTTATTTTTCAATATGGGATGCAAGTGAAACAGCTATCACTACTCTGATCGTTCCTCTCCTTCAAATATTGAGTTTGCTTCAAGGAATAAGCTGAGGAGTGCTGTTACGCGTGGTCAAGGATTCAGATGTTGCCTATTGAATGCCCTTTTGTTATCTTAAATTTAGTGAATTTCGGGAAGAGAATATGTTGTAATAATAGTGATTAGTGCGTGTAGTATGTGTGTCTCGTATTGTTAAGAAACTTTTGATAAATAGTGTTTCATGTGATTGCTCTGTTCCACATAGTTGAGATGCTCTGTTTCATTTTGAATTATCCTGTACGAAATAACAGAGTCATTAACAAATAATAGGGTTTGAGAGATTCCTTAATTACACTTGAACTCCTGCATTAATTAGTTTTTGACTTAGCCCTTCTCCATTTTGATTTGTAGAATTTTTTAGAAATCCAATTTTTAAGGGAGATTTTGTCAAAATTTCTACAAAAAGCTAGTGATTTTATTCTATGAAATATTTTCCAAGGCTTTATATTTAGTATTGTAAGTAAGTCTAGATATGTGAATAAAAAATTTTTTATTCATATGAAGCCTAAAGAATATGGCCTCCTCATATTTCAACTCGTCACGCCTTTTTTTTGGTGTAAGTGTGACGTCTATTTGGATTTGTTATGTATGGTTTTTTTTTCCAGAAATGCTGCTCTAGGTGGAAACAAGACCCAACAAAATTAATATGTAAAATAAAGATTAGTAAGAATGACCGAAAAAGAAGTTGGAAATTACAAATTCCAAATCAGGTTTAGTAACACAACTTTATTTGGTATTGACAATTTTAAATTTGCAAATGACAACAAATTTTTGTTAACATTTCTTATTTGGCATTTACAAATTTTCAACTTTTTTTTCCTTGTCATTGTTCCTAAAGATTATATGGGATATCATTAGTAAAACTGTCCGGCAAAAAAATTAGTAGTAAAATTGTTGATTGATTCCTCCAGTTACATTATTGAGGCAAAATGATTAGGGGCCGGCACGGCATTAATCTCAGTATAAAACATAAAAACTATAATCGGTCCCACTACAAAACAATGTAGCGTAATACTCCTCCGGTCCTTAATATAGGACCCAATTGTTGAGTTGAGTTTGGTCCTAAATATAAGACCCATTTATCATATTTATCAATTTTCTCTAAATTACCCCTATGGATACTCCCTCAATCATAATCAAATAGAAGAGGGAGATGATGTATTAAGAAAGATGATTATGATGTTTTAGGAAAAATGTGTCACTTTTCTTATAATTAACCAACTTACCTAACTTTCTTAATCTAATCAAATTAGTTAAATAGGTCTTATATTAAGGACCGGAGGAGTAGTTTTTTTTTTTTTGTTTTTGGGGCAAAATTAATTAATTTTGTTGTTAACAAGTAGACGTAGCCATTAACTGGTCAAATTGAAAAATAAAAACAAAACTTGAGATATAGTATTCCCTACCTAATCTTCTCTTGAAAGGGAAAATCGGTAAAACCAATTACATTATTAACATTTCCTATATTACACTTCTATGATTGATTGTAAGGGACATCAATATGAATATAAAATAAAAAAATTTATTTTCCTTGCCTAATCTCCCCCTGAAAACAAAAAATTTGCAATTACCATTGAATTGGTCAGCCTTATTGCCTACACAATCTGATGAGCACCGACTGTAAATATAAGAGGAGAATGCGGTTTTTATGGGATTATATTTACAACTGGTTCTTAGTGCAAATTTACAACTAAAATTTTATGATTTACAATTCAACATGTCTAAATTTAGGGGTAAGTGGAGATTTTAAGATGGTGTTTGCAAGCTCAAAAAAAGGAATGGCTTTTTAGTTGATTATTTAGTTTTTAACCTGTTATAAACTTTAAAAAACTAATTGTTCACTTTGCTCCATATATATATATATATATATATATATATATATATCTCACATAAAGACTTCAATTGTTTTCTTGTTTCTTTTGCTTGCAACAGGCATATGTAAAACAAACAATGCGATTCGTTGCAACGAGAATGATCGAGGACCACTCTTGATCTTCCAACAAGGAGTGGTGGATCCTTTAAACAAACTCTCTTCATGGACTAGTCCTGAAGATTGTTGTTTGTGGTCTGGAGTTCTGTGTGATATCAATGGCAGAGTTGCAGAGCTTGATCTAGCTCGCCATGGCTTACAAGGTGGGATTAATCTATCTCTTCTTCAACTTGAACTTCTCATAAACTTGGATCTGAGCCATAATCGATTTGAATTTGTGAGTATTCCTCAACGCCAGTCTCCAAATCTTCTCCTCTGCTTCACCTAGATTTTTCGCATAATTATCATTTGCGAATAAATGATCCTCATTGGATTTCTCAACTTTCTTCTTTAAAATATTTAGACCTTATTACTCTAGTGTTGGAAATGAAACCAATTGGCACTATTATATCTCTTTGATACCTTCGCTTTCTGAGTTATATCTGAGCAGTTATGAGTTGAGAGATTTTTCATCCCTCAGCTATGTCAATTTGACATCACTGGTAACTCTTGATCTTTCTCACAACATGCTCAACTCAGAATTACATAATTCACTCTTTGATTTTACACAAAAACTATCTCATCTTGAGCTTTCTGACAATGATTTCTATGGTCAAGTACCGAAGAACCTGTTCAAGCTTCCAAACCTTAAAAGTTTAAGGTTGAGCTTTAATAATCTCATAGGATCAATTCCTGATTGGTTTTGCTAACATGAACAGATGCAGTATTTTGACACCTATGGTAATTTGTTCAGCGGCTCTATTCCATCATGTCTTGGAAATATTTCTTCCTTGATTTCCTTAGATTTGTCCCATAATCATTTCAGTGGAAATCTTCCCAAAAACCTTGGAGAGCTCCATAACTTAGAATCTTTAGGCATTGGTGGCAATCATTGGGTGGGAGTTATTTCAAAAAAGAATTTTACCAAACTCTCAAAATTGACATGGTTAGACCTGAGTTCAAGTGGTTTCAAATTTGACTTTGATCCTAAATGGGTCCCACCATTCCAACTTCAGCATTTGAATTTGAGTACCACAAATATAGGGCCTAATATCCTAACATGGCTATATACACAACAGTCTCTAGAATATCTAGACATTTCTACCTTAGGGATCTCAATAATTGATGCTGATGTGTTTTGGAGGTTTGTAACAGGAATTGATTATGTTGATTCGTCAAACAGCATGATCAGTGATGACATATCCAATGTCACACTGTCAACAATTATCTCTCACTTTGATGTATCTCACAATTCTTTGTCAGGCTCTATTTTCTTATTATTGTGCCAACTAGAGAGTGAGAAGGAAAGCATATTGTCTTATTTGGACTTATCACATAATCATTTAAGTGGAGCAATTCCTGACTGTTGGGTTAATGGGAAACGATTAGAATACCTTAATTTGAGGGGTAATGAGCTAGAGGGTAAAGTTCCTCCCTCCATGGCCTCATTGAATCCTTGGATATTGGATTTACGTGATAACAATTTCTTTGGCGAATTTTCATTAGACATATCAAATTGGACAAATTTGCAATACCTTCTTTTGGAGGGAAATGAATTTTCTGGAAGTTTGCCAACTACAATGCCTCCGCGTTTGGTAGTTTTCAAGTTGAGGGCCAACCAATTTGTTGGTGAGATTCCATTACAATTGTGCAATCTCTCTTCTCTTATGATATTAGATCTTGGTGATAATAATCCTTTTGGATCCATATCTCATTGCTTATATAACATTATGGATTCAACTGATCAGCTTTTGTGGGCAGAAACTATAAACATATATACTAAAGGAAGAGAATTAGATTATGCTGACATTTTGTTTTTGTGGATAATTGATCTTTCCTCTAACAATTTGTCTGGAGAAATTCCTAAAGAGCTATTTAGTATGAGTCAAATGCAATCTTTGAACTTGTCTCAAAACCATTTGAGTGGAAAGATTCCCAAAGAAATTGGAGGCATGAAAAATTGGAATCTCTTGATCTCAGCCACAACAGACTTCATGGAAAAATTCCTTCAGCCATCTCTAATATATCTTTTCTTGCTTACTTGAACCTCTCATACAATAATTTCACTGGACAAATCCCTTTAGGGACTCAAATTCAGAGTTTTGATTTTTGGTGTTTTGTTGGCAATCTTCAACTTTGTGGAGACCCTCTTCCAAATAAGTGTAACAAGAAAGAAGAAGTTCACAACTTAAAGCTGGCCGAAGAAAATGAAGATGACATCTTTCTCAAGTCATTGTATCTTGGGATGGGAGTTGGGTTGGCAGCAGGTTTTTGGGGAATTTGTGGTTCTCTCTTTCTCATTAGAGCACGGAGACATAAATTTTTCCCATTATTTGACAGTTTGGTTGATCAACTTTTTGTCAACATGGCCCTCATGCTTAAACATTTCGGTCGGATAGTTGGAACAAATTAAGTTGCTATTGAGGAAATGGATTAGCTATCATATATTTCCCCAAAAAAAAAGTCGTATCTCTCCTTTATGGCATGAAAGTTTATCTTCTTTTTTCTTCTTTTGGTTAAACAAATTTAGTTCTTTGCTGGTTTTTCTTATGTTTATTGTTCAACATGCTTTGTCTGTGGGACACAACTACAGCAGATCAAGCGGTGGGTGCAGCCTCTTTGAAGACAGATCCGATCTATGTATCTACTACTTTTCCAATGCCTTTGTCTCAAATTCGAGTCTCATATTCTGCTTCAGGGAATAGCTAGGATGCTTTGCTGCGGTTATACTTGGCTAAGGGCTCCAGTGTTTCCTTCTAATTAATGTTCTTTGTTTATCTTAAATTTAGCGAAATAGTGACAAAATAAGAGTTTGTAATAATGGTTTATCAGAATATCCGCGTGTACTTATGCTAGTTTCTTTTTCAACTGAATATCCTTTAAGTAGTGATCGTAAAAGTCCCCATGTCGACTTATATTAACAGAATAATGACCCAACAGTGTCAAACACATCATAATAATGGTGCCACGTGTGATGGATCAAGTAGAACGACGACTGAATCGTCATCGTCGACAACAACTTGACATCAACGGTCAGCAGTAGAGGGAGGGTTGTTTTGGTAATTTCATGAACGAATGTGCTCATGGGCTGTTTGGTAATTTCAGAACAAATATTGCCACGCCTCTGTTATCAACACATGTGACCTCTTCTTCAACTTTAAAGTAGTCATTGCGCTTTGATGGCCTTCTAAACTGGCTTTTCCTTCTTTAATAACTTAGACGCAGGGCCTGCTGTTTCCTTCTCCTAGACAATGTCCATTATATTCCTCAGTGCAAAACTAATTTATAGTTAGTACACTTCTCTTTCCTTCTCATCAGCTATGTCCCTTCTCAGACTCCCTTGTGCACTTGGCCAGTACTCTACCTGTACATGATATAGTTAGTACATATAAGGAGGTAAAGAAGATTGAGATAGAAGGCGTCTGTAGCTATTTTGTGGTCAATCATGGGAGAAAGGAAGCCTTCAGCATTGTTGGCTGCCAAGCTGTTAAAGAAAATGGTTTTAAAGAGCAGTGAATTACATTGTTGTTCAGAGGCAAGATGGAACATTCGGAAGCATGCCATGGTTGAAGCGTCTGCTCAAACAGAGCTTGCTTGTTCAATGCAAGAAACCTTTGGAATTACAATATTCTCAAGGATTTACGTCAAATTTCTCTAGTTATCCAAAATGACTTGTGTTCTTTTTTTTTTTTGGGAACCCAAAATGCTTTAGGTTGCACTAAAGGTTGCTGCGACCATTTGGAAAAGCACCTGTTGGGTATATTATTGACCCAATTAATTACTTTGGAGATGAACATTACTTCTATGGTTCAACCAGACAAACCGCGGATAGGTGACATGCGGCACAAGATGCTGAGATTGAAGCTGTTAGTGGGAATGCTTGAGGCTTTTACTGAAGTACAACTCTATTTCCCACCTTTAAAATGCTTGTAATTGGTTACAATTTTATTTTTGTAGGAATCTTGGATCTCACTTCTCCTTATGTATGTTTGTGACATTTAAGGCGGTCAAGCACTCTCAACAATTTACCTCTATAAAGCGTCTCCCTGGAAAAAGATCATATGTCGCTAAGCCAATGGTTAATCTTGTAGAATGACACTACTCTCTATTTCCCAGTTGTCACCAAACAAAATCTCATGGAATGACAGGATTGCAAAGGGTTTTTGATTTTAAATAGATTATCGGATTTATTGTACAAGTGTCATCTCTCTAACATGTTAGTCGCTCTGTTCCAGTTTGCCATATGCTGTTCGGAAGAACAGAGACATTGATGTATCATATCATACATATCTTAGCTATTCTATACAACCCATTTAAAATCTGTTTACAATAATCTCAAAGATCAACATATGATATATGGTTTATAGCAACTTAGCAAGAAATGTTATTCACATGTTGTGAACAAAAAATATGTTTGTCTTTTGCTATTTATCTAGTTTTCGTCCCCCCCCCCCCAACAATGGTTATCGGGGTTTTATAAATCATTTATAGAGCAGGTAAGTTTAAATATTGATTTTACTGTAATTTGAGTCTTTTGCAATTAAACGAGGACGCTTTGTCTTTGAGATTTACAAGTTAGACCTCTGGCATTACCAGTGGAGTAACTTAACATTCTCTTTCTAAGACAGGACCCGTTAGTTTTCCCCCTTCAAAATTTCTTTAATTTGCTCGTGTATTAACTTTTTCCCTCTTCTCTTTGTTTTTTTTTTTTGAGCTCAGCAATTATATTTGAGGCTTTGTCAAATTTTAAATGTGAATAGGAATTTAAATCTTGATTGGTTATGTAAGAGAGGCTCAACTAATATTGGTTTTTTCCTCTTTTCTGTTTGTGTCAAGAACCAACATACATGGGCTCAAAATCACGTAACAAAATAGAATTTTGAATTGTGATTTTGTATCACCAAATATTGGGTAACTTGATGTAGTGCCTCTTTCAAAAGGTGTGAATGATTTTTTTTTTCTTAAAAAAAAAACCCCAGACGAGTTTTGTCAATGGGTCTTTAAATCAGAGACATTCGGTGATGTGCATGTTAGATAAATCATCATAAAATAATTCAAATGTATCGTTAAATATTTTCCAAAGTTGCTCCAATGAGGTATGATGAATTGGTGATGTACTTAGAGAATCTAATGTGTCAATTACTATCACAATATAATACAATACTCCCCTTCCCGGTAAAGCAGTTGCACGGTGAGGATGAGTAAAATAACTTGATTTATTATCACTTATTATCACCCTGTTTTAACTGGTAAAAGGGTTGCATCATTTTAATTAGGGGTCACCTGCAGCAGCTGAGAATCTTAGTTGAGAATCTCCTCTACCAAAGGAAATTAAAAGAGATGATAATAATGGAAGCTTTATGTTGGGTTCCATTAATGAGCTAAAAGATTGAAATATCGTTAGTAACAATGCAACCAGATTGAGTACTTATTAAAGTACCTTAAGAATTAGTTAAAAATTTAATTTAAATATAAGATCATAATATACCCTATCTTTATTATTTATTCGTTTTGCTTTCAAATATCCTTATAATCATTACACATCTAAGGAATTTCTATCAAATTATAGTTTCAATATATATATGACTAGTAATAATATTTTAGGAAAGACAACATTTATTTATTATAAATAATTCAACTAATTTTCTTAATATTTATAAATTAATTATTTAACTTTTATATTAAGAATATGAGGTAGTGCATTGATTTGATCATTTCAAAGCTAAAACAAACAAAAAAATTGATTTATGCATGAATTATTTGCAAACATTCTCGTTTGGAATTAAAAACATCACCAAAACTATTTTAAAAAAAACAAAGAGAGAAGAAAAGCCATCACCAAAACGATCGTTTCAAGATTTTTAGGATTGTGTGCAGTTTCTCTGTAACACGTCATTGATGTTGTGACAATATGAACAAAACATAAAAAGTCTAAATAATAATTTATAAGATATTTTTCTTATTTTAAAAGCTAAAAGTTGTATTTATAGAAAACCTCTTATTAAATGGAAAAAAAATTAATTTATTGCTTATGCATCTGGTATCTTTTGAAGGTGTTTAAACGATTTGGTTGTGGCCAGAAATTGGAAAATGATATGAAAATGAATATATTAACATTCCAAATTTTTCTCGATCAAAAAAATGGGAAGACTTTGGAAGTATTAGAAGACTTGTTTATATATGGTTATAGATTTTTTAGCCATATAAATGTTTGTGTACATTTGATTTTTCCAATATTTTCATTAATTAGTGGAGACTGAACTTGAGTATATTTTGGGAGAAGACTTTACATTGGCATTTTGAATGGGGTAACGTCTTTATCAATATTGCTAGTCACCATAAAACATCACATGTCGTTTTAAGATTATTTGCAAACTAAACATTCTAAAATGAGATGTTTGGATGAAATCAAACCATCATTTTAAGAGTGATTTTATAGTATACGAAATAAATATGTGGAGAAATTTATTTCAATTTATGCAAATGTGCTTTTAGAAAGCGCTTTTAAACATGTTGAAACACCCCGTTGTTATAATATGAACTGAACACAAAAAGTTTAAATGATAATTTATAGGACATTTTTCTTAATTTAAAAGCTAAAAGTTGCATTCCCAGAAAACATCTAATTGAATGGGGAAAAAAAAAGGTCCTCTAATTTATTCCTTACAATTTGATTGTAGAAATTGGAAAAGAAGATAAGAATGGAAAATAATATGAAAATGAATGCATTAATATTTCAATTTTTCTTCTAAAAGATACAAAGACTTGGAAGTATTAGAAGACTCGACCATAAAAAAATATATATGGCTATAGACTTTTTAGACATTTAAATGTTTGGGTAATAGAAAATGATATGAAAATGAATGCATTAATATTCTAATTTTTTCGCTAAAAGATGGGAAGACTTACAAGTGTTAGAAAACTTGACCATCAAAAAATGGTTATAGATTTTTTTACACATTTAAATGTTTGTGTAATGAAAAATGATATGAAAATGAATGCATGAATATTCCAATTTTTCCTCTAAAAGATGGGAAAACTTGGA